CCCGGCAGATGATAACTGCACACATGACGTTGCATGGTTCCACTGGATCATAAAAGGCTCGAAGAGTGCAACTCTTACGAACCAAAGAAACCTAAGACATGCTGAGATTGACACAGCTAGTCAAGCGCATTCAAACTAAAGGAGCGATCAGCCGTAACGTCGTTCTCCTCCTCCGAACTCGAGCCATGGACTTCAACGATCAGTGAGTTGCTTCCAGCTGCCGTCGGAACAGTGCTATGTACACCACTATTTACACTGCTTGGCGAGGTAGTCGCAGCTGAGAGGACGGAAACACTCTGTGCAGAGTTCCCCGGCACTGTCAGATTCTGATGCATCATCGAAACTGGCTGGGAAGAGGAAGAAGCCCCACCGGTACAGCCCGGGTCATCCTGAACATCATAGCTTGACGACGAAGGCATCCGAACAGAATTGATCCACGAGGAGCCTGTCGTACTGCCACGGCCGCCACTGCTGGTGCAAGTCCCGCGATTATGGTCCCTTCCAAGATCGCCGGACTGCACCATGCTCTCCTGGTCCCTTCCAGGAGGCTGTTGCACATGCTGTGGTGGCGCATGTGTAGCATTATGGTGGCGGTGTCGGCCCAAGATGTTACGCATGATACTGCATCGACGAGTATGATGCATGCCCCATCCACGCCGGCAAGCGCTGCAGCAGTGGCGATGACGGCCAGCCGGGAATACCCGATCGCAGCCTAAGGTCGCGCACTCCACTAGGTAGGGCACAGACACTGGTGCAGGTACGGGCTGCGTCATTCCAGAGGGAGCGCCACTGGAGGAGGCCATGCTGCACCGGGATGACCTCAGCCCAAAACAGGCGCTCACAAGAGTAGCGCGGCTGACGATGCAACAGCTCTCTCGCGATCACCGCATGTAACATGTGTCGATTGCCAGCACTGCATGCATGTGATAGTGCAACCGCACCATTTTCGGGCACTCGATTTGAGCCGTGTGCACAAGCGGTAGCTACCCCCGACCGCACATTGAACACATGTGAAAGAAGGCTGCTTCTGCACGTTGCACCTAGGGTGTTGAGGACTGGTACCAGGAGCCAGGGCAGGGAAACCAAGGAGCCTAAAACCCGAGGAACCTACCCGAAGCAAAAGCCTACGGAGGAGAGGGGAGCCTAAACCCTAATTCCTCAAGGTAGGCTCGCGTGCCGCTCAGCAGTAGCTCATGGCAACGAATGGCGTAGGCAATGATTGTCATGCGCCGCCCGGTCCACTGACATGTAGCATGGCATTGCTTGGAGCCATTGAACAGGAGCCCACAGGCGCTGGTGGGGTGCAAGTCACCTGCCAACAAATCACCGTCCACGAGCTGATAGTCCCTTCCCCCTGGGCGTTCAATCCAGAGTTCCCCAGAATCATGATGCGAAATCCCAACCAGCAAACTTGGATTGTGCTCACTGTTACCTCGGTCGTAGTGCGGTGCTGTATGGTTATCGTAGTTAACCACTAAAGTGGTCCAGACATGACCTGCAGCCATTGAGCGCACCAGGGCGTTGAGGAGGGTGCAGACTGCCTGATGATGGGTGGTGTGCTTGTGTATCCCAAGCAAGCCACCTTTATTGAAAGCACCCAAGGAAAAGGTGTGGCCATTGCCATGCGGCCGCTTGTCAACATAGCAGTTCAACTGATTGACCACCATACGTGCAGCTGACCAAAGCACTCCAGATCCCTCCAAAAGGAAAGCTTCCGCACAGGCCTCCGCCTCGGTACCAGCACCACCCGCAGCACGAGGCAGCGGTGGGAACGAGCAGCGCGTCTCACCCTTGATGGAAACCGAAAGCTGCTCTGCATAGTGAAGAAAGGCGGCGAAGGCAGGGGGCGCGAGCACTCGCTGTGCAAAGGCCGCGATGTCATTTCGCGCCGCCATGGTGAGATCAGAGGGAAGTGGAGCAGCATTGAAGCCACCATGTAAGGTTCGCAAGGCCTCGAGGAGGAGACTTTCCTCTAGCGCAGCAAAGTACATGTGGCTAGGCAGCTCAAGCTGTACCGCCATGCTGGCTCCACTTTCTAGGCACAAGTGAAGCTGAGGATGATCGGCATTAGCATGCAAATGCGCATGTGCCAGAGCAGTCGACACAGCCTACCAAGACGGGCGGGGCAGGAGCAGGCTGAGTGCCGGACGTTAGGCCGTCACACTGAGGCCCAGAGCTAAAAAGACGTTAAGCTGAAAACCCAAATGCTGTACGTAGAGTGGATGCACTTGAAACAGCGTGTAGTGTCGCGGGAAACAGAAAGGCGAATTCAAGAAAAAAGTGGTGCGCGCCAACAGCAGGCGCAAGACGTTTTTGCACGGTTATGCCCGAAAACGGATGCGTCATGCTGCACATCGGCGGCGGGAAGTCATTAACCCGAGGAGTCGGCACTAGGGGGCTCTGATCAGCCCAAGTAGATAGCTATTGCATCGAATGCTCTGAAGGTCTGCGGGCGTAACAGTCCTCGGGACAGCACGATCATTGCAAACATAAAATTGCCAGCCCTCGTCAGTACCTTCACTCCCCGGCAAACAAAGCACAGCTTGATAATGGCCAGTGTCAGTACTCACTCCTTGATGCACGACAGCATATACAATGCGGAAGGACTGATGGCTGGTGGAGGTCCCCTCATTGTCATCAAAGATCGGAAGAGCAACACTCTGACCTGGCGCAAATACTATGGGGCTTGTGTCCTTGGTGGGGTGGGCATCGATGACATGATACCGTTTAAGCTGAATGACGACAACCCCTCCATGTGTGACCAGCGCATGTATGGTGTGCTGGTGTGCCCATCCATCGATAACAGACTGAACATCCCCACCTTGCAGATCCATTGGCAGTGGTGAGCTCAGCTCGCCAGTGTCTACCACCTGCATGGGGTTGCAAAGGCGTGCTTGCCAGGTGCCATGATAGGCCACGGCAGAACTGCGCATCAAAAAGGTGGTGCATGAACTCTGCAGCGTCTTGTTGACGATTTAAGTTACGCCAACCGCTTATGAGTGGGGTCCAAGGAAGACAACTGGGCAGATATGGTGCACCAGCCCTAGTCACCAAGCGCATGGCAGCCTCGGCAGCACCATAGCAGAGCTCCCTTGCTCCAAGCAGTGCCCCAATCCATTGAAAAGCCTGCGCGCAGGAGTTGAGATAACAGACATTGTGCGGATTTTTGAGGCTTGCGCGCGGCAGCCGGGCAAGCGCATCAGCACAACAGGCTACAGTGAAGACAAGAGGCAGTAGGCCTGGATTCAGCAGCCGTCGCAGCAGGCTCTAGCGGCCCCCGCGACGATTCCGGCGAGGCTTCCAGTCTGTCCAAGGCGTGGCCAGGTAGGCTTCCTCGACCGCCTCCGCCATTGGACCCTTGCGGAGCCTTTCTGGCCGCAAACGCAAACTCAAAAGCTTCAAGACGCCGTTGTGCGAAAGAGTCTGAAGGGCAGTGAAGCAATCCTGCGCCTGCTGCCCCCGAAGAGACACCGAGACCAGGAACGGTATCACGTCTCCGGTCGGATCCTCCAGCTCCTTGGCCGCCCGGAAGCGAAGCAGAACCAGCGGGTTGCAGGCTGTCTTGAGCAACACATCCACGCACTGGAGCACACTGTCGTGCGACAGCGGCTGCTGGTCCGAAACCACCTGGGTCTGGGTGGCTGCATCCCACCTGTAGTAATTCCATACAGGTGTCAATGCTGTCGCCCCCTGCTGCAACCAGCCCACAGCCATCAGGCGATCGAGCTGTTCCTGATTCTGGAGTAGCTCCTGGAGCTTTGTCTGCAGCTGCTGCATCATCCCCAGGAACAGTACAATCCTCAGGGAAGTGGTCACTCGGCCAGCACTGAAAGCTTCTTGCCAGTTGGCTGCAGTCATCTGAAGGGTGGGGAGCACGCTGTGTTCGCCATCCACGTCGACGAACAGCATGAAATTCGTATCGGCACGTGTCCTCGACAACTCTTCCTCGTGCCGAAGAGCCATCTTGGTGAGGGCCTGCAACAGCACGGTTGTCGGGCGATCGAGGCCGGAGCTCTGGGCAGCCTGGTCCTTCTCCCATTCCTTGCCCCAGTCTTTCGTCCACCAGCTCCCTGTGTTGCCCTTGCCGGGACGTCCCTTCATCGCCGGCTTGGGCCACTTCGGCTGGCGGTCGTCCAGCGCCTCCGCTGCTCCGCGCCGTCCCTCCGGCGCTGTGTCCATGACCGACGTCATGGAGTTCGAAGCAAGGGGCACGCTCGCACCCCCCCAAACCTGCCGAACCTCCTCTAGTGCTGCCGCTCGCTGACTGTCCTCGGGATTCATGGCGAGAGACCTGCCGGGCTAGAGCTGCTTGGAAGAGGGCAGGACAATGCTTGACATGTGCCCTCGGCGCCTTGTAGGACCGGGCACAGTAGTGACAGGGGGCGGAGTGCACAAACCCAGCTTCAGAGCAAAGTGCTTCAGCATCAGACTTATGAAGCCAGTGATCCGCACGCATGAGCCGAACGTGTTGCTTCACACTTGGACCGATCATTGCAAGCCATTGTCCGCAGAACACACAGTATGTCCTCAAACTGTCGCGAAAAGAGGCCCGCGTGAAAACCTCACGCCATCGCTTTTCTAGCTGTTGCCGGAAAGAAGCATCTTCATACAATGGCGCTGCGATGGCTGAAACAGTGGCAGGTTGCGCAACGGCTATCAAAGCAGTATCGCTTGCAGGCGGGACACCGGGGGAGACACCCTTAGTCTCCCCACTCCCCGCGGGTCCCTTTTCCGCAGGGGAGGCAGTGGGTCCCGCCGCAGAACAGGAAATCGCCGGTGCCGCTTTACCAAAGAGTACCGGGCAGCGGCCCTGAAGATGTTTTTGGAGGGCTTCAACAAGGGTAAACTGGGTGAGGCAGTGTCGGCACTGAGTCCTGAGGCATTCCGTCAACGGCATGCTGGATCAGCTCTCTTGCACGCAGCTTGTCCGGCTTTGGCTTCGGCTCCCGACTGTGACGCTTGGTTTGACGCGTATGCAAATCCCTCATACTCCCGAAGTATTGGCCACAAGTGGGGCAAGCAAACCAATGTTGGCTAGGATGGGACCAACAAACTCGAACCGGTTGAGGCCGGACAGTCCGAGCGCAGGAGTGTGTCCAACGTGGACTGCATACACAACACCGCCGCAGCATCATTACTGCGCTGCACACGTCGGCGGAGCAGACTTGCCAAGGCTTGTGTAGGGCTGCTTACCCCGAGGCGCTTACGTAGTCGGGCATTGTTTTCATGAGTCAGATGCACAGGACTGCGCGCAACGCCTCTGAGAAACTTGATGTCGGCAATTTCAAGTTTCTGTAGGACAGCATCGCTAATGCCAATAGCAGGTATACCATACAACATGGTGCTGCGAACACATGCTAAATACAACGTAACACGCCTGCGGAGTTCAAGCTGCCGACTGTGCAAAAAGCGTAAAAGGCGCGTGCGCTGCATCTGGGCAATCTGTAGTCGATGCCGACACGTCTGCAACTCCAGTGTACTGAAGGAGATGATTGTGCCCAAGTACTGAAAGGAGGTCGTGGCAGGTATGATAAGTGGCTTTCCCGGAATGCCAAATTGGATGCAGCGCCGGCCGTCCGAATGAACGGTGTGCTCACGAATCCAACGTTTGGCAAAGCTGCCCTTTAGCCCTAAAACGACGGTGGACTTGAGAGGGTTGGCACACATACCACATTCAGCCAGCAGTCCAAACGTCGCACGCAGGGAGCGGCAGACAAACTCGAGATCACTGGGCTGTTGAATGTCCCATCCCAGGTGGGAATCATCCGCGAACCATGTCACGAACCGGGTTACCCAATCCCGCGATGTGCGTTGCTGTAGTTCAGCTAGAAACCAGCAGGTAAAAAGACTAAACAGCATGGGACTAACAGCACAGCCCTGACGGACACCACACTGTAGTGGAAAGGAGCCCTGCTTATGTCCGTGTGCAACAGTATACTTACACTGCTTATGGATCTCGAGAAGAAGACGCTGCAACGGCGCCGGAATGTTTGCAAAAGCCAGGGCACGTAGCAAGCAGGGCCGGTCCAGTGTATCGAAAGCACGGCTAAGGTCGATGCCAACCATAATCCCCCCAAAACACGTGCTATTATTGGCACCGGACCGACGAGAACGCACACTGTGCGCGCCTGCACGCAGCCTGCTGCGGACATTCTTGCAGAACTGAGCAACACGACAGATCCCCTCGTCTATGGATTTGCCCTTGCAGTAAGCAAACTGTGGGTATTCAGCGAGAACATGGCCGACCTGTTCGACTAGCCTATCACGGAGGATGCCAGCTATGATCTTAGAGGTGGGGTCCTGAATTCCCAACGGCCTAAGATCCCGAGGCAACTTAGTGGTTTTGCCGGGTTTGGGCAATAACACTAGACTACAGTCCGTGATCTCGCTGGACAGGACGGAGGGCTCAGTCGCAACGTCAGCCGTGTAGGTGACACTGACACAGCCGGCAAAGGTCTCTGAGCACGCCTGCCATACTTCAACCGGTAAGCTATTGACAGGCACAGCTTTACGGGGTTTGAGGGAGTTAATGGCATTGACGAGCTCCTCGTGGGCGAGAATAGGCGGGTCACAACTTACTCCAAACCCGGGCATGTGAGGATGGCTAAAAACCCGGCTAAAGTACCCATGTATGGCATCGTACTGCTCAGAGGGGCTGAGCGTACGCCCATCTTCACCACGAATGCACACCCTCTCGCGTCGTTGCTTGGGTGCAAGCTGCCGACAAACCCTGTAGACTTCAGTCATTTGATCCTTGCTGGCAGCCGAGGCCGCGCGGTCTATGAGGGCATGCACTCGTTGTTTTCGATAGGAAAGACTGGCCCGGCGTACCTGCCTACTCAGAACCCGAAACCGATTGAGACGACGAATGGCCTCAAAGACCCTGCGCTTAAGGTTGACATGGCGAGGCATAGCGCGCATATGGTGGTAAGCCCTCCACATTTCAGCAATAGCACCCGAAACTTCGTTTGAGCGGAAGGCATGCCGTTTGGCCTGTCGCGTAATCGGAAAGTACCGTGCACACAATGGAAGCACTAGCTGATTCAGGGCTGAAACGCTCGGTGGGCTCGTGCAAGCCTGCACAGCCGCCTGCGCATGCGCCACAAATCGTGTCCAGTGTTCGGATCCAGCACTAGCATCCGCTCGAAGCTCCTGCAGTGAGTACCCTGGGCCCTTGGCAGGTTTACGACTATGGAGCTTCCAGCACCCAACAACAGGAAGGCTTGCCCTGACTGGCCTGTGTCGAGGGCCAAGGCGCCATGGCGCCAAGTCGATTGCCAGCGGTCCAGCCCGCTTTGCCTGTGGGTCAACAAGCGATCGCCGTATGATGATATAATTTGCGAGAAAACTTGTCCATTCTGAAAAGTGGCACAGTGAGTGGGCCTGGCCCGTCCCCAAGAGTTCAGCACACACAGATCGTGGGTTTGTAGCAGGTTCGTGAAGTCCGTGTCCCCTGTACGAGCATTGTAGAGGGTACCGGAACCAATGTGCCCGCCGAGCTGTCGACAGGATGTGTTGAAATCCCCAGCGACTGCCAAGACGTTCCGAACTGGCAGTGATCCAATCAGACGTGCAAGCTGTGTCCACACCGCCTGGCGATCCCTGGAAACCGAAGGAGCTTTCCCATCCTGAAGAACCCATTGATACACAGCAATGACATCAATCGGAACAGAATACCCAGAAATACGCACGTGTAATAATCTGCCAGGAGTCCATGTGCTGTATGTGATGCTGTCGCGGTCGGCCCACCGTGAAGAAACACACACACAGAGCCCAGCGTATCTAGACTGAGCGTCAGCGCTAGTCAGGAAATGCCATGATCCAACCGTCCATTGGCTATCAGCACGCCCCAAGCCCCAGTGAGTTTCAGTAACTACCACAATGTCCGCAACCTTTTGCTGATGCAACCAAGTGACAAAAATGTCGTAGAGCTCCGCGCTCATTCCTCCCAGGTTGTACGTCGCTATGCGTAACCTGGGCGCACGGCCTTGAAGAGTCGGATGCTTATGGTCAGGACGCGCTTGCGCCCGTGCAGCACCCGGTGGTGGCTGGACACGTAAAGACTGTGCGCTTCTCCAGTGTCCTCTGTACCAAGTGCCTCCATGCTCCAACGCTCTCGCTCTGGCTCGGCGATATGCACGTTTACGAGCCAGGCTATAGGTGAAACCACGCGTATCCCCGGACAGTTTCGCCCCCGAAAAGGAGGCTCCCAAGGCGGTTCCGGTACCCGCCTCAACCCTCAGGTCTACAGGATCGTTATCTTGCTCTGCTGCACACTGCATAATAAGATCCTGCCGCAGGAATTGGGACCTGCGCGGCTTGTCAATGTTCTGAAATCCAGGGCCGATGCTTGCAAAAAGTGCAAATAGGGACCAAAAACAGCGCGACATTCCAGGAAGAAGGCCCTATGCATCCGCTTCGCTCAAGCCGAGACCCTTAGGAGTAGTAGTAGTAGTAGTAGTAGAAGTAGTAGTAGTAGTAGTAGTAGTAGTAGTAGCAGGAGTAGAAGTAGTAGTAGTAGTAGTAGTAGTAGTAATAGTAGTAGGAGTAGGAGTAGGAGTAGGAGCAATAGCAGTAGCGGTAGCAGTAGCAGAAGTAGTAGTAGAAGTAGAAGTAGAAGGG